TGTATGACCTTATGGAGCGCCCTTTTGGACCACAAACAAACAATTAATCTTAGACAAGACACATCTAACAAACCTCTACCTCAGAGTCAACTGAAAAGTGCTATAGACACTTCGAATCCATCATCTGTCCAGTTTCTCTCCCGATCAAGCTTTTGCTGTGTAACTCGATCGCCATGTATGGAGTATGGACCTAGAAGATCCAAAAATTCAGTCAGCTGAAAGCAAAGCAAAAGAAAAGGGTAATCTTTGGATGCAGTAAGGTATGTCTATCAAGCYGAATCTGGTACATGAAGAGAAGGTGAAGTGGACAATGCATGAGACGCTTCTGAGCCACCAACTTATTAGATTACAAGTGGAAGATTAATTCCACGTTCTACCTTCCATTTTYTTCCTTTATCAACATGCATGCGCCTCTATTTTTGTCAGTGTTGCTAGACTCGGATTGAACCGGACGGTCAGACCATCATAATTGACAACCCACAACCAAAATGGTTTTGGGTTATTGATGAGTTGATCAAATTTTATCCAAAACACGTATTAGTAGGTGGTTTAATTTCTTGTATTTATTATCGCATACATTTTAACTAACTTCTACTGATGGGCCATATTGTAGAGTTGATCAAACATTCAAACTCTACATATCCAGTCCAAGTCTGACAATATTTACTAACTTAGCTTCTACTGATGAGCCATCACTCAGATTAGACCGGATGAACCAGCCAGGTCCAGGTGGTCCAAGCACCTCGTAAATTCAAAGAATTCATAGGACCTTTTGGTGCCGCCTTGCCACCACCCGGACAAAGGTGGATTGCCGCATGCGCCTGGTCTTATGGCTAACCATCCCCTTACCCACTACCTACGCTCTCTAACCATGTGGTAGAAAATGAAGATAATAATAAAAATAGGGTTAAAGGTCTCTGGTTTCTCAGGTCCAAGGGACCACCATTACACTTGAGAGAGAGAGAGATATTTCAGCTCCAGTCTCCTAGCAAGATGTAGATGAAAAGAGCTTAAACAAGTTTTCTTGTGGAGTTGTTGCAGGGGTCTAATTAAATACTTTAAATAAGTGTTCTTTTTTGTCATTTTCAGAGACATGGTTGACTAAAATAGTTTATCCCAGGATGAATGCACATGTCTAAGGGGAGTGGATGTGGATGTGGTCACATAAACCAGCTAGCTTGCTAGTTAGAGTTCAAGCTTCACAGCTAATCAAAGACTTTGTAGCTTTCCTCTGGCTTAAACCCAAGAGGGTTTGGTATTTAACTCCTCTCCATCATAAACAAGCTAGCAAAAGATGAGCAGAGCCATCCATGATCCCAGGGTGACTCTTGAATCCCATTTTTCAACTGGAGATACCCCATTTGTTGGTTGCTTACTCTACGTTCCTTTACCTAACTTATGTCATTGTTTTTGTTTTTGTTTGGTTAATTTAGTCTATTTTTTTATCCATCATTTAGCTAATCAAATGATGATGATCATAACTGTAAGACAATTATATATGTTTTATTAAAGTAGCCGTAAAGTGCACGGTCTTAGTAATATAAAAAAGTCTCTCTGTCGTCGTTGGAGGGAATTATGATGGTACCCAATGAGGACATGAGCAGAGACAACTTAGTTTTCACAGGATAAGCTTTTCTAATATATCTTCAGAAGGGTTTGCTACTTATCTACGTATACATGGATGCAATTAGCTATGTCAGCGAGCATGGAGTTTCAGAAATGAAGAAAAGAAAAAAGAAATCCTATACTAATGGTGGTGGTGGTAGTGATGATGATGATGTGAAGTGACCATTTGACTCATATATAAGCTGATGGGGGAGAGATTCTGCAGAAGATAGATTCTATTCCTAGACAATCTTGTGTATTGGATTAGAAAGAAAGATGAGAGAGAGTGAGTGGTGCAAAGGGTTCCACTTTAGTGCAGTCCCCCACCCCGACACACTCTCTTCTCTCTCTTTTTTTTTTAATCCAACTTTTTGTGCGGGCAATGTTAGAATATGACTTGTGAAAAGAAAAAGAGAAAAAGCGTGAAGCATGCAAGAATGGCGCTGAATGTCCTAGTTACAATTTACAAACTTCAAACTAATTAGAGAGAGAGAGAGAGAAGGGGGTAGTTGCACCCAACATGAACTTGTAATCTTCTAATATAAAAGATTGGCTTGCATACGGGAAGGTAATGAAAACCCTGAAAAGAGAGGACTTTCTGGGTTGTGAAGGTTAAGAAGCCAACATCTTAGGACTGTTCCTGAACAAGGAAGAGGTGGAAAATGAGATAACCAAATAAAGAAACTAATGCACTTTTATACATTTTGATTAGAGTTATAAGCCACACAAAGTTATGGTTTCAAAAACAAACATAGAAAAAAGTAAAAAAGCTATCAAATATATATGGCTAGGATGTTTTTCTTGTCCTTCATGGGAGAGAGAGAGAGAGAGAGAGGCCGATGGCCAACCCCAACCACCCTAAAGCCTTATCAGTCCTGAAAGGCTGAAACAAAGAGTCCACCGCACAATAAAAAATAGCTGGGCGATTAAAAGAAAAAAAAAATAGCAGGGTTGGAATAATTAGACCCTCAAAAGAGTTTTAGTCTGATCCTAGACACCTGAGCATTGTTTAGAATGACCAATTAAACTACCCAGTTGAACCAATAAATGCTTATACGATCCGACGGCTCAACTACTGAAAACTCCACTTAAAACCCCATGATACAGAACTAATAAGAATTTCATGTTTCTTCCGTCGACTTTCAATTGAGGAGTTCTCATCAGTGTGCTGAGTTATCCCAATGACTGGGTCGACCAGAAATACAGGTTCAAGAACATTGTTGCATATGCTAGAAGCATTCTTGTATTTCTTTAATCAATCCTTTATTTGATTCAGAACTCAGAAGTTGAAGACAGTGGAAGGAATACTAAAGAGTAAAGAAGTAACAATAGAAAGAAAAAGATCAAAAGCAAGATGAGAAACATGGACTCCCGTTCACACACTAATAATCAACCTCAAGAAGGCAGCTAAAAGCCTAAAATAGGTGTTGTGCTTGCGCTTTCACCATGTGCAAACTTAATTAATTAAACAAGTTAAATCAGTGCAACATACTGGTCGAACACTGTCATCAAACACTCAAAACTGCTAAAAGAAAAAAAGAAAAAAGAAGACCTCTCTCTCTCTCTCTTTCTCTCTCACATGTGCATTGATTATTGTGTATCTACTGGTAAGCCGTGCGCTTTGAGTTCCTTGTCAAGAAATAGAAGTTTCGGCTTCAGAGCTATATTTTGAGAATTTCTGGGAACCAACGCCACCATCAATCACTTCTAATCATTTGAGTCTCAATCCTCAAGTTTGAATAAAGAGATGGACCATTAATTACTCCGTATATATTTCCCCGGCCCCTTTTAATTTTTCTTGCTTGTCTTAACGAAATGTTAGAGGTTAGAGCGTCTCCCACCTTTCTCAAGGGTCATGTGATCAGAAGCCAGAAGAAAAGCCAAATAATAAATACCTGTGTTTATTATTAGATCTACAATGACAGCCACAATCTTCTTCGTTGTAATAAAACAAATTTATTCTATAATTTGTCTTAAGGCCCACTGAAAACTCGTAAATTTATTCATATTATGGTAATGATTTATCAACCAATATGGGTCCCTCGATCGGGTCACCTCTGAACAATCGATAAAAGCAATATGCTGTCTTTTCACACAAAATGGGGGCTGGTGCCATGCCATATACAGTACAACAAGTAGTCCAGTTAGTTATGTGTTCAATCACCTAACAGCTTTAAGTTTTATGCCTCATTACTCCTATTGTAATTAAATAAGTTTCGGTATAAGATATGGGTGGGTCTGTACTTGTTCATGTTTCAAGTCCAATGGATTTTTGTACGAGGGGGCATATTARATAATATCAATCTATTCAAAGACCTTACTTAACAACTTAAGCTTTTAGGTTGAATGATTCTTTGAAATTTATCAACATTAGAATCAGCGTTTTCAGACTTGGATCAAACCCTTCTGTTGAACCGGTGAGCTGCTGATCTAATTCTCTTTCTGGGTTCTGGTTTTTAAGGTAAAGGCCAAAACGATGCAACCATTRGTTTAACCGGAATAATGGTGATCCAGTGGGCTTTCCTGCTTAATGTTCAGCCTATGTTACATACCCGAGGAGATCGTGAGCTCCAGGACTTCCTATAATTTTCAGTAATTGAAGAGTAACTTTCTGTGAAGTAATGGGTGTAGAAATTAACTTAATTGACTTCATATTTCCTGGGAAAGAAATTGTCCCATTAAATTTGTTTTCTTCTTTATATTAAGTTCAATTAGATAGATGAGGCTCAGAACAACTTGAACCGATGGATTATTAATACATATCAGAATTGTTTATCATTTTTTGCTATGATCAACTCAATCTCTTCTAACCAAGCTTCTTTACACAATGTCGGTTTAATTAAACATTTTTTATAACAAGAGTGATACTAATACTAATAMTAATAATAATAATAATAAGATTAAATTGAGAAATCCTAATATTAACAGGTCATAGCTAGAGCCATATTAAATTCAACCAAGAAAGAAAGTGAGAAAAAGGGCATGTGAAATGTTTGAGAAAACCACATGATCATTGAAAAATAAACCACATAAAGCAATAAAAGCAGAGCTGATTCAGAGGTTTGGATTTCTTTATCTAGTCCCTGTCGTTGAAGAACATCAATGAAATCCATCTAACATATCAAAAGGCAGTTATGCCTAGGAGTCTGAGATGTCAGACTTTGATTGGTTCTCATGGAGGCACTGAATATGGCAAGCAGGAAACAATGGGTGGAGGTGTAATGTGGTCCGCCTTTTCTTTTCATCTAGAGATCCAAGGCAGATGATAAACTAGTACTCTTTTTTATTAAAGTAAAAGTGGGTCCTCTAATTTATCAATTACAGTCCTAACAGACACCAATTTGGTGTTTGTATTGGACTCATGACATGCTGTCACATAAGTGTTCTAAGCTAAATATTTATAGCACAACAGCCTTCTTGTTGCATCATTTCTCCATCTCCACTTCTCTTTTGCTTGTTCTAAGGTCCTATTTCGCATGGAGGATCAGTTTTCCAAGATTGGGAGCTACCTGCAGAAGGAATTGCCATCTTATCTTCAGGGAATTTCAACGGAAACACAGTTGTTTTTCAGTCCAATTATGTGTGATGCGCTTGCAGTGATAGCTTGTCGTGAAGGTGMTGATGATGGAGCAGGAGGAACTTCTTCTTCGTCATCAAATCAGATCTTCTCAAGCCCCGAGTCTAGTTCCTCGGTGGATGAGACTACAGCTACCACTTTGGACGGTAATGTTGCAGAATTCGCCACACATCAATCCTCTCTATTTTCTTGTGTTAGTTCTGCAGCAAATTGTGTGAGCCCAAATGGATTTCCTGAGGTCRATGCAAGATTCACACCTCTAAATTTTATAGAATCAATCCCTCAGTTAAGCCAAACCCAAGCCTCTCCAGTACCTTCACCTTCATCTTCATCCCCCCCAGCTTCCAACCTCCTCAACTTAAATCTGTTTTTGCAGGAACCTACTATACAGACCACACAGACCAACCAGACACTTGACAAGGACCAGAGATGTGACCCCATGTTGTCATCCCTGAATCAATTCTTCCCAGCTTTTCAACATCACCAAATTCAGATTCAACCAGAACATGATTGTCTCAGGATCAATCATAAGCTCGAAAATATTGCTTCAAAGAGCGGTGGTGACTGTTGGCTTGGTGCAACCAAGACACAATCGATGAAGCAAACTGGAAGAAGAGTGCAAGATCATCATCGTCAGAAGGCTTTGCCATCTTCCCCAGGGAAGCTGTACAGAGGGGTGAGGCAAAGGCATTGGGGGAAGTGGGTTGCAGAGATCAGGTTACCAAGGAACAGAACAAGGGTGTGGTTGGGAACCTTCGACACAGCCGAAGAAGCTGCTTTTGCATATGATACAGCTGCTTACAAGCTAAGAGGGGAATATGCTTATTTGAATTTCCCGGATCTCAAACACCAGCTCAAGATAAGTTCTTTGAGTGGAAGCACTGCTGCTCTTCTGGAAGCAAAGCTACAAGCTTTCTGTGACGGCTTTCAACCTTCAATGAAACCAACCGACACACCATCACCACCATCATCAACTACACTCATATCTGAGAATACCAGTACCCTTTGTAGTTTGGAGCAAAAGCCATCAAGAAAAGATGGTAATTCATTTGATTTGCAGAAAAGAGGCGTTTCTGAAGTTGTTGAGAGTAAGAAAGCTCAGGGCTTACCATCTGATGTGGATGCTGTTCCATTAAGTAGAATGCCCTCCTTGGACATGGACATGATCTGGGATGCCCTTCCAGTTTCTGATTTATGAGAAACAACCCCTCCATTCTCAAAACTCAAGAGTACCCGAGGAACGAATGTTGATTGTGTTGATAATTGTACACCCAACAAAGATGAAGAAGTGAGGTAGATCTTTAAGTGGTTGTGTTTATATTTTTCTTCTAGGTCAATCCCTACTGACATTTAGTTTTCCATCCTTCATTATTATTGGCTGGCCTGAATCCAGATTGAGGATCTCTGTAATTCTCATCCACTATGACCTTTGTATTGATGGTGGCTTTGTTTGAATTCATTGTTCATGTTTCTGTTCATTAATTTGCAAATTTCACATAATCTATTTTCTTTAGTTTGATGTTTTAACTTTTAATATGGAACAACATCAGCGAAAGGAGAGATGGAAATCTCAATTGTAAGCTGTAGCCGACAAAATTAGAATGTTTAGTGGGGCATATGTTTCTAAGTTTAATTTGTTCAAAATGAGAACTTTTGGGTTGATACCTATTTACATGGGAGAAACCTAAGCTTCCCACTTGGTGGTATCTCTTTTGTATGGTCTTCTAATTATCATTACCCACAAAAAGGATTGACCATGCAGAGTAGTGATGGGACCCATTTAAGATAACCATGCCTTAACAGACCTGATTTGAGTAATTGCAACTGGACCCCACCTAAGTAATTGCAACTTTAAACCTAAGCTTGAAGTTGTCTTTAGTTGGAGACATTGAAATTGGCCTGAAAATTACCGATTCAATTCTTGGGATTAAAATTTTGAAATTTTACATTGTAGAAATTATGTTTGCAAGCAAAAGGCCCAATTCCAATTTCATGTTTGGATACCTAGACAGATCACATAGGTAACTGATTTAAATTTCACATTCTATACACTACAGTGAAGACACATGAACCATCAAGTGTGAGTGAGAGATCAAGAATTAAGACTGTCCCACAGAACTGTGCTTAACACAAGAATGACAGAAGTGGTCCTAGTCCTGCATGTTCATCATGTGAAATGATTACATGAGAATTTCTTTAACATAAAGATATGGCTGTGGGTCTATAAGAAATATGCTCTGGATATGCTGGATTATGTATGACTAGGGTTTGCAACTTGAGTGGCATCAACTTGCATCCTTTGTTGTCTGGTTTTGTTTAGGAAACTAAAATTTGAACTGTACCAAGTTTGGATTGGACCTGTTTTGAGTGCAGGCAGCAAAGCCAAATGCATTACATATCAAATGCTATTCAACAATATTAATGGATTGTCAACTTGTCACTGACATGCTTCTTTATGCTAGCTTTGATGGATGAACCAAAGGGATCCATGGTTTAGTATCAGCCACCTTACCCTCTCTCTTCACATGCTAGGTTTCTAGATAAGGGAACTTTGCACATGGAAAAGAAGCAATCACTTTTTCTGCCTTCTCTAATCCCTATTTATTTACATAAAAGCTAAGCAATCCGGAATTGTACACATGGTAGAGTCTATGGCTAATGTGAATGAATAAACAGTCCGATCGAGTTCCCTATAAAATTGTTTGGCCAATCCATCTCTCTCCTCGTGGTAGAAAAAAATTAATGGTGCTAATAAGAAGAGGTATGTCTTGTCTAGACAGATATATATCAGTTTTCCTACATATGTTCCTTTGGGCTATGTTTGGTTTGAAGGAAAAGGTAGGGAAGGGAAGGGAAAGTCAGGGGAACCTATACTTTTCCCTTCCTTTCCCTACATTTTCTTTCAAACCAAATATAGCCTTGAGAAAAAAATAATAATAGAAAAGAGAGAGAAGAAGTGGGTGAAATTCCTCTCAATTTGTTTTTAGGTTTGCTCAAATTTTCTTGTTTTAGTGGATTAGACTCTGATTGGGTTGGTTTATACCGATCGGACTGTCCAAATTCTTGGTCGGTTTGCCCCTTTTCACTCGGTCCATTCTTGGCCACGTTCACCCAGACGTACATCTGAAACATGGATTATACTTTACATCGCCATTCTGGATATGTAAGAAGTTTTAAGTACTTGGGCCAATGAAGATATTAGTTAATGGTTTCTTGACGTCTCCAACACTGAATGGCTCGCAATCCTTCCCCAACTAGGGCTGCAACTTGGCCCAAACTGGTTCTGGCTGAGTTTAGCCCAATCTAAAAATCTTCAGTCGGGTATGCACCATGCCGCCTAGAGTAAAGTTGGCCTTGGCCACACATTCCTATGGATAATTATTTCAGGCCCGGGATAAGGCGTAGGCCACCCAAAACTTCATTTTAGTTAGAAATGAAAAGGAATTTTTTCTATGACAATCCTCGCACATTGTGAAAAGGTCACTTTTTACCCCTTATAAGTTTCTAAAAGGCCATTTTGCCCTCAAATTGTGGTAAAAAATAAACATATATTCATAATTAAAACGATATTCAAATTAATAATATTTTACATTATGCATGAGCATATTAAGGGGCTGTTTGGCATCGTTGTCATTTCCTGGAGCAATGGTGCCACATCGGAAAAAATGATACTCCAGGAACCGGACATTTGTTTGGAACCATTTTTCCATAAAAAACGGTGCTCCAAGTCATGCCTCGAAAATCGAGAAGCCATGGCTTGGAGCAACGCCAAATTTAGCGTTTCCTGGAGCTGCAGCTCATTGCTACCAATAGGGCAGTGATGTGGCACTGAAGTGGCACTAGATAATGGGTACCAATGTTGAAAACGTTTCCTAGAGCAATGGTACCAAACAGAAAAAGTTGTTGTTGCTCCAGGAAACATCCTACCTAGCAGCAATGATTCCAAACAAAAATAAAGCATCGTTTTCTGATAAAAAATGGTGCTTCAAGCCACACATCAGCAGCACCGTTTTCGCAGCATCGATGTCAAACATATATTAAATCAACTTATTGTTGGTCTAATAAAAAAATATCCTTTCTCTTCAAATTTGGATATATGAAGAAAGTTTTGCCCACATAAATAATTGCTCCAATAACATATATAATAAATGAAAAAGTTAGAACAAAAGTAAAATATATATTATAATAAATTTATTAAAGGTAAGAACAAACGAAACATACCTATAAAAACAATTTTTTCAACATAATCCTAACAAAGTTGTATTTATATAGAGGAATTTCTAGGTAATTTTTCAAACTGCATATAATTTTTATATCTCGAGTGAAATTCAATTTTATATTAGTTCGGCTAAAAGTATAATTAAAATCAACACAAATCAATTGTCAACCTTGAAATGCAATATACCACCCCCTCATTTAATTCATTCCAAAGCTCTTCAATTTCCACACCAAACATTTTGACTTCAATGTCACCCCCCTATAAATTGCAACATGATTGAATTTAACATTATTATCCTTATAAATAGAATAAAACACTACATCTATTTGCATAAAAAATTACATGCAAATTAACAAATATCAATTTGCACACTTTTTGAATATTATTGTCATCTCCAAATGTATGAACATATAATTTTCTAATAAGGCAGTTTTTTAAGTCCCAACATTTCTTTGAAAATTTCATCTTAGAAATTAAAGTTGGCTGAAATGTTATCTTGTTAACATAACCAAATAAATAAGATAATTCCAAATTGTAAGACTAAATAAGAATAGTCAAATTAAATTTACATGAAGAGAGAGGGAGAGAACTAATGTTCTAAACCAATATCCATTAAGACAAAAATCTTCATGAGCATATATAATATCTATAATTCATTCAAAAAATCCAATGTAGCTAACTTAACAAAGCAATATTGTTAATAATGCATTCATTGTTCATTAGAAAAACAAAATGATGCGACATTGTTAAGAATCTTTATGATTAGAATGACTTAAATTGTATTCAACTTCTTCTATCACAATTATCATCATGGCTTCATCCTCAAAATCCATAAAATATCCAATAAATCTTGGAAACTATATGGCATCTCTTCTTCAATGTATTGTAAAGTCACTTTTGATAACGGTAGTGGTAATGTGGACACATATGCATGATAATTTTTTTTTGTCACTGAAAAACCATTTCTTTCCAATTAATAAAACAGTTTTAGTTTGGTGTTGATGTTGCGCAATCCGGACACTCCTAGCTGGCTGTTGACTGGCTCCTAGCTGGCGACGGACGGTACCTGAGAAGAAGATGGTGAAGGATTCCCGGGGGACTTGCCTGGTGAGAATACTCCGATGCTTAAGTTAGAATGTTGGAGAAAGTAGTAAAGAGTGCAAGAAAGGCTAAGAGTGCAGGTCGCGCTAGATCACTGAATGTTTGAGATTAGCTCAAGAGAAAGTTCCGAAAATGTTCAAGATATTCAAGATACTTCAAGATACCTTTTTCCCTTTCGACCAAGGGGCTCTTAATTATGGGAGTTCTTGTCAAATTGGGCGTAACCGCCACTAGGCCTTTGTCGCAGCCGTTATCTGCCAGGGCTGTGTAGTTAACCGTTGCAGAGTACTACCCAATCGAAGGAGTGACACGTCCCGGGAGGACAGACACGCCACCATCCGTCGAGAGACGTGGGTGTAGTCTGTCGGGTTGGTAGAGACTGCGCCGTCAGTCAGGAGATGTGGCGCAGTCTGACGGGTACAGTCTTGTCAGATAGAAGTCTCCTGAAAACATCGTGTCGCTTAGTAGCGAGCTACCCTGGTGATGAGCTGCCTTGTAGTGAGCTATCCTGTCGCGAGCTACCTTGTAGCGAGCTCCTAGGGGTACTTCAAGGTGATTCCTCTTAAGGTTGCCTTTGGGGCAGTTTTTCTGTCTAAGTATTGGAGCGAGCTGGTTATCCTAGCTCGCGAGCTGGGATAGACTTGTCTTGGAGTATTCCCTTTCAGTATATCGAGGGTCCTCGAGCTCGCGCTGTAGCGAGCTCACCCTATAGCGAGTTGTGACGTAGTGAGCTGTCCTGCGGGCTCGTTACTTAGTCGCGGTCAGGCTGTGGTGCTGAGCTGTTACTTGTGCTGAGTCATGTCCACGTGTCACCGTCTCAAGGGGTCAGGTCAAATCACCCTCCATCAATTGCCCCCCACTCTTCGGGCTAAGGGTGCTACCTTAGCGTAAGGAGTTCATGAAGTGTGACGGGTAGATTTGACTCGAAGTTCAAACTTGATTGACTGCTCGCATTAAATGTGTGCATAGAAGTCAAGGGATTTCTGGACTTTTCGAATGCCGAAAAACGTGCTGAAGTGGCTCTTAACTCTGGATGTCATGCAGCCATCATTACCTCAATTATGGGAGACGTGCATCTAGTCACATTTCGGTTTCAGAAGACGTGCGGTCAGCTTGACTGCGAACCATCAGATCT